TAGGATTAAAGTCACAGTATTCCTAATCTGTAGGCCAATGGTGTACATACAAATTTATCCTGGGGTAGACTATTATCTGATTGTGTGGCAAGTCTCTTAATGTCTTGTTAAAGGAAAGGCAGGGAGCAGAAGCTGTGGCCTTGACAACATTCTTTCATTTGTTCAACCAAGGTTTATCCAAGAGCTACATTGTGGGGGGACCTCTGGTAGATATCAGGAACACAGAGATAAAGACACTGTCCCAGGCATGGAAATGCACAGACCAGGGGGGAAGACAGGAAAATGAATCATTCATTGAAACATAGTGGGGTAATTTCCAGGAGAGCAAGAACAGAGTGTAGGTTACCCTGAGGAAGGTTGTGGTTTCTTTCAGTGGAAAAGCAGTAGCCCTTAATTTAAAAAAATTTTTTTTTTTACTATTATTTTTACCCTTGTTACATTTTTATCAGGAAAAAATATTATTCCATGTAGATATGCTTCCTTTTGCTTACCATGCTTTTCCCTGTGGATGTCAGTGAATGAACTACGCCCCTGTCTACAACATCCTACTGGCTGGCTTCTCTCTGTGAAGCTGTCATACCTGGGTAGGGCCAGACCCCCCTTTCTCTGCCTTTGGCCTTCACTCAGCCCCAGGTGGGCCCTGATGGCCCCATTTGCCCAGTGTGAGCTTCCTCCTCTCAGCTGATGAGAGGAGGTGGTTGAGCTGCAGAAGAGAAGTGAACTCCACCTCCCATTCCCCTGCTCAGCCTGGGCCTTTGCACATGGGAGTCCCTCTGCCTTCTCATACATTTCCACTTGGGAAGTTCTCCTTCAGAATTCAAGGCTCTGTCAAACAATCATTTCTCTATGTGACTTCCACAGCCTTTCATTCTTGCAAACGTTCAACAAATATTTATTTTTTAATAATTTTTTGAGTGTATATTTATCAAAGCTGGGGGTAGTGAAACAAAGGAAGGGCTTAGGCTAGAAGAAGCAACAGCAGAGGGCCTAGGTGGTGCTCTGCTTTGGCTTTCTAGAAACATTATGGGAAAGAAGTGAGCCACGCAGGATGCTGTGGACTCATTGGGAAGTAAAAGTCACAGTGACAGATGTGAGCCAAGGTGGGACTGCTGTTAGCTCACTGAAAAGTCAGAGAAAAGGGGGCCTTGGAGACAGGTTCAGGGGGTTATCCTGGGACAAGCTGCTGCTACCTGCTGCTCCCCTGGTTGCAAGTCTGGCTGGGACCCTTACAGCTTAGGAGAAAGGGAGCAGAGATACACTCCTGAGAAAGGGGGAAGAAAAGCATGAGTGTGCTCCAGAGGAAGCCCACCTCAACAAATATTTATTGAGAACACACTGTTGTGATCCCACTGAAGTATGCTTACCACCTTGACAGTCACTCTTCTGTGTAGATGTCTTGGGCTGTGAATTTTTTGAGATTCAGGGCCTTAACTTATTAATCAAGGTATTCCCAGTTCCTGGAAAGGGTTCAGGCACATAGCCCTTAATATATTTGTTTTAAAAATGAATAAGTTTCCCCTTTCTGGAATGGCTTAGTGGTGGATTTGAGGGTTGGAAGGAAGACTTGCCCACCTCTGGGTTCCACAGCCGGGGTCACTAACATAGCATTGCCAGAGACATGAGGAGGGTGTTTCTATCTGGGTTGCATGGGGTGTTTGACCCTGACTGACAGGGCCTGCCACTTTGCAAGAAACTAAGTTTTACGATTTTACCAATTCATGCTGCAGTGACCCAGTTCTTGGGGGTTTAATTAAAACTTATAAATGATGGATTAGTAAATCAGATTGTCAATTTAAATTGTTTCTGTTAGTTCCCTAGAAGAGCCCATCCCCTGTTTAAGACACCCAAGAGGGAATGAAAAGTGAGCCAGTGGCAGTGGGCATTACTGGAGGAGGTATTGTATACTGGATTTTAATCGACTTTCTACTGCAGAGTGCCTGCCCATTTCTAGGGAGATCTAGAATGCTTGCAGCTGGTGGAGACCATGGATAAGGTTTCCTGGACTGATCACTAACTCTGTCCAGTGTCTGTGTGTAGCCTCATCACCCCTTTGCCTCATCTCAATCCACTTTCCAAAGTTACAATCCCTAAGTTTCAGATTCGTTTACACCACTCCGTTTTTGGTAATGTGCTCCCTGCTACTGGGTCTCTGTCTCATGTAAGTAGGGTCACATCACATGGAATGTTCTGGGAACATTACCTTTAGTTGGCTTATTTTCTCTTCTTCGTTTAGTCAAAAAGAGGCCCCTGTTCCAGGCTTGAGCATTCTGCCTTCTTTCCAGTTTTTCCGCAGCAGCCGTCTCTCATTGGTACTGTTAATTCTGCAGCTTGCAGGCTCTCAGACCACAGGGTTTTTTCACCACCAGCACCACCTGCTGCCCTGATTCCCAGAGGCCTCTCTCCCTTTCCACCTGGCCTCCTCACTGCCCTCTAGTTGACACACGTTGGGGTTTGCGGCAGGCCAAGAACAGGGAGGGGCTGTGCTGGTGTGGGGTGATGGGCGATCTGGAAATAGCCTTGGGGGAGGGCCCTGGCTCTGAAACTGGCATTGAGGTGTTTGCTGAGCTTATAATGCCTGGCACTCGACAGTCAGAAAACGGAGGCATCTTTGCAGATCTAATTAGTTCTCCTTCCCAGGGAGGCCCACTTGCTTAGGGTGTTCACTCCTCTGGATTGGAGACTGTAGTACTATCCACACAAACTTTTACTCTGGACTAGTTGGGTGTTTCCTCTGCCTGGGGCTCTGTGCTCTTACTGGATCCTGCAAAGGTGGGCCCTAGGATCGTTTTTGGTCTGGAAGTGGGCCAGTCGGCCATTCACATATAGTAGCCTTGCCACGTCTGCCAGCCTATGATCCCCACTTGTGCACATGTCCCAGGTGATGAAATACTGGTCATCAGGGGCAGGAGCGGTAAAATGGGAGAAGCAAGGAGAGGTATCCATCGTGCAGGGGTCAGAGGTGAAGCCATGAAGGGACCAGGTGCAGGCTGGTTTTCCCTGAAGTCATCTTCCTCCCTACTGGGAGGATCTCCCTGAGTCAGCCTTGGCAACCCATAGTGACAGGCTCATGCTTTGACTGTTGTGACAGGTTTGTGGCCTCCCCGCCACCCTCAGGCAGCCCAGGGCCTGCCTGGTTTCTGACTGCCTGATCTCTGCCCAGCAATCTGGCAAGGGTCCCCTTTGTTCATAAGGGTCTGGCCTGTATGCTGTCCACTGTGTTTACAGAGCTTTATTAAAGATGAATAGGTTCATGAAAGAAAGTGTCTCAGGCCAATAGTGGGCAAGAGGGAAAACATTCTTAAATTTGCCCAAAGTTCCTGGGTGCTCTTCGGCCTCTGTAGGGAGCTGCAGACACCTTTTAGGGCTGGTGCTTCCCCCGTGTGCTGAGCTCTGCCAGCCCCAATCCCTCATCCACTGGGCCTGACCCTCTGGCTTTGGCTGCAGACAGCCTAGGGTGATGAGGGTAAGAAGGCAGGCACAGCTCCCCAGCTACTCTGACCTGTGTGATGGGAACACTTTGTAGGTATACTTGTAGCCAGTTGAAGCTGACACCTCCTCCCCTAGATTGCATCTGCCCTATCAAGGTCACCAATAGCCTCTGACAACCATGGGCCCATCCAATGGCTCCAAAAGACCTCAGAAATGGGATGATTCTATACCAGCCCTGTAAGATATCACAAAAGGCAGGGTGAGGTACAATAGTTAGGAACACTGATGCCAGTCACGCAAACCAGGATTTGACTCCAACCCTGCCATCTACTAGCTGGGTGACTTGGTAAACTAAACTCTTGGCCTCAGTTTCCTTATTTATAAAATGGGATTAATAATATCTACCACTTCAGAAGGTTGTTGTGAGGATTAAATAAAATAATATTTCGTACTTAACACAGTGCCACATGTTACAGCTACTATAATCTTTACCTTTGGGGTGCATAAGGGCCTAAAAGGGGCCCTGACAATCCACCAGTCTAGGGACAACCTGCTTTGTCTTTTTGACCCTGAAGATCTATTTATTTTGAATCCTCACCTGAGGATACATGTCCAGACTGGGGACTGAACAAACCTGCAACCTAGTTATGTGCCCCCGACTGGGAATCAAACCCGCAGCCCTTGTGATGTAGGGGACAATGCTCCAACCGAGGCACCCAGTTGGGGTGATCCTGAAGATTTAGATCACTATGTATTACTACTTTCCTTCAACCTTTCACCGGAAGTGGAAGGCACTGGACCTTTAAATAACGAGACCACCTGAGAATAGAATCATGGTGCCTGCCCAGCCGGGCGTGGCTCAGCGGTTGAGCGTTGACCTGGGATCCAGGCGATCGGGGTTCGATTCCCGGTCAGGGCACATGCCCGGGTTGCGGGCTTGATCAATGACTCTCTCATCATTGATGTCTCTCTTTCCGTCTCCTTTCCTCTCTCTGAAATTAATAAAGATATATTAAAAAAAGAAAAAAAGAGAATCATGGCGCCTTAGCTATGGGCCCATTTTTGGCCCTGCTTACAGTCTAGGCTTCAGGTTTGTTTGGTCTCCTGACTTAATTGTCCTAGACTCCAGCTGCCTGACCAGTGGCTCTCTAGGCCTGGCTCTCAAGGACTACCCCATTTGCTAGAAGATTAAAGGCATTGGGGCAGTCTCTATTGCTTGCCTAGGGCCTGGTGATGGGGCTGGCAGCTGTGGGCCTGCTGCCCTAACGATCAACAGGACACTGCTGTGGGAATGTGAAACTGGTGGAATGGTCACCTGATACAGGGAGGGGTAGGAAGGAATAGTACGCAGAGTGTCAGATAGTATTTGTGGGCCTTTTTACTCTGGAAACATATTTCTCAGGTGGGTCAACCCCACCTGTTCTCCAAAACTAGGCAAGAGAAGGAAAAGCTAGGGGAGGTGGTTTGCTCAGAGCTGAAGATGCTGGAAATGGGGGAAGACCCTGTTAGTAATGGGGAGGGAACAGGCATTCCCTTTCTCCAGTTCTCCACGCCTTCAAAGAGACCAGTGATTTGATTTATATCCAGTGCTTTATTAAACATAAATAGTCTCACAAGAGGAGAAATAAGTGTGTCCCCAGGCCAACAGAGAGTATGTGTATGTGTTTATGAGAAAGAAATGTGTGAGGTCCCTGATCTGTGCTCTGAAGAGGTGGTCAGTCAGGCAGGGCCTGGGCCAACCTGTAAGGCAGATGAGGGTCTCTGTCCTAGGGGATTCACTGTTCCTGGGTGCCCCAGGAGATGTAGTCTGGCCGCGTGGCGGCATGGTACTCATCGATGAGCTGCTGCACAATCTCCCTGGATGTGTCCAGCTCATCAAAGTTCTCCTTGAAGATGTCCTCCTTGCGGAACTGCTCCAGGAAGGCCTCCCGCTTCCGCAGCTTGTCATACTGGCGACAGGTCCGCTCAAAGAGCTTGAGGTGTGCAGAAAGCAGGGGTCAAAAAGAACTTTGAGGAAAAATATGGCCCAGAGAGCCAGGGAACCAAGGCTGGGCTATCTTCACAGTAAAAAAGCCAGAAGCAGAGCAGCAGGGATGTAGAGAGGTGAAGCACAACCAGGAAAATTATTATGGGAAAATAGGTGCAAACTGAAACTCACCGAGGAGATGCTGGTATGGTTGGCCATCATGAGGCCACTGACCCGATGCGCAGAGGGCAGGTAGGGAGACTTTCTCGACAGGGCCACTTGGATGCTGGCTGGGCCCCAGGGGATAAAGTTGGCCAACTTCCGTTCCCGGATCCTCTGCAGGCTCTTGTGGACCTAGGGTGGGCACAGGGGTGGTGGTGGTGGCCTCTCCTCTACCCTTGCAGGTTTCAGGGGTGGAGTGAAGGGGCCTCACCTACCTGAGTGGGATCCACCTCCCCCTGGATGATGTTGAGGATGGCGATGTAGCAGTGGTTGGTCTGGCGATCCCGGCCAGTGGACACCATTACATTCTTGGGCTGCAGCAGCCGCCTCATGACATCCAGGACCGTGGTCTTCCTCACGCTGGCCACCTGAGGGGACAGTGGGCCACAGGGATCAGGCCAGCACTCAGGGCACAGTCCACAGATGCATGGGCAGAGAAGACAGGCAACACATGTCCTGCACCAGACTTGGGGCAGTATGGCCTCTTTGGGGAGTGTCTTTAGATTCAGGTCTATACTGAGCCTCTGCTGTGGGATCAGGAATCTTAACCATCCTCAGCTCAGCAAACTCATGCCCCTGTGCAGGAGCATAAGTAGATCCCATTCGGCCCAGGCCCTGCAGAGAGCCAAAGGCAGGGGACAGAGGAGAGCAAGGAAGTTGTATAGTCTGTGCCAGTCCCTGAGCACAGAGCCTCCTGGGGCAGCAGGGAGAAGAGAAAGGCGGGCTTAGAGCCTCTGGGCCCAGGGCAGTTGGGCCTGGGACACTGAGGGCCGCTCTTACCGACTGGTCCGTGGTGAGGGGGGTGTAACCAGTCATGAGGAAATGGAGCCGTGGTGTGGGAATGAGTGAGGCGATGAGGCCAATGAGGTCGTTGTTCATGTAGCCAGGGTAGCGCAGGGTGGTGGTGCTGGCTGACATGATGGTGGACACCTGGGGACAGGGATGCCAGGTCATGGGTCTTGGCCCGGTTGGGGGTGCTCCCTTCCCCAGACAGCATTCCAGTAGGGAAGGATTTTAGTCCAAGAGTCCAGGAGTGATGGCTCACCAACTGGTTGATCTGGGAGAAGGATGGGTTCTGGATGTGTAGGCGGTCTGTGGCGATGCGGTTTAGGGCTGTGTTGTCCAGCACTACCTGGGGGGATAGATGAGGGTGGCAGATTTTGGGGATTAGAAAGAACATGAGCTCTGCCTGAGCCTGGGCTCTAAAGCTTAATTTCCCTTAAACCTTATAACCAGAAAGACCCATCCAAAAGGGATTTGCACAGGAATAGGGCCCAGGAGGCCTTAAAATGGAATTTTTAAATGCATGAAAATGATGAAACAGTTGGGGGGGTTGGGAGTAGGCAAAGGTAGAATTGACTTACCACACAGTCTGCATTCTGGGTCAGCCTCTTGAGTGTGAGCAGTGAGTTATAGGGCTGGACTACCACGTCACTCATCTCATCCTGGTTGGGGAACACTGAGTATGTCTGTACCAGCTTCTTGGGGTACCTGGTGGGGGTTGGGAGAACAGAGTCAAGGCAACGGATTGGAGACTTAGTAAACATGGGATTCCCAACAGCTGTCTGGAAGCAGCTAAGTCTGGACGGGGAAAATAGTATGGGGCCATAAGATAAGGAGAGAAAGGAGACTTGAATTTGGAAGTCTATAACTTTCCCAAATGGCAGAGAGAAATCTTAGGATCTAGGGTTCCAAGTTCAAACTGTCCAGACTCTCCCTAAACCTCCATCTCTTCATCTAGGGCCTGAATTCTAGGTTCCGGTTCAAAGCCCCAGGAGTGGACCAGGTTCTCAATCATTGTATCTTGACTTTCCTCACTACAGGAGGAACTAGAAGGTATCTTTCCTGCTCCAGTGAATAGGAAGGTATATTTGGAGGGAATCCAGGTTACTTGGAAAACCACGTCCTCCCAGCCCCTCAAAACACAGACTTACCTGTCGTTCAGCCGTTCTAAGAGGTAGGAGCCCAGGCCAGAGCCTGTCCCCCCAGCGATGGAGTGACATAGCACAAAGCCCTACATGGGAAAGAGGCAGTCAGTGTCGTGGTATCTTGTGGCAGGATTCAAAACTGAACCCATCTCACAATTTTTTGGAGTCCTATCTTCCTGAGGCCTCTCCTCCACTTCCCTCCCCCAACACACAGAACTTAGGAGACTCTGTCTTATTTCTCAGAAGGTCTGGTGGCTTCTAAAGGGTGTTACTAAGCCTTCCCTATGTTGGTTCCCACCAGCATTCCTGAGACACTTACCTCTAGACTGTCACTGCCATCTGCTTCCCGGTCTATGATGTCAAAAATGTCTTCGTGGATCTTCTCTCCCTGTACAGACATGGGGAGGGTCAGAGTGGCAGGACCATGAGACAAGGACTCTGATATCAGAATAGCCACCCTTAATTCTCCTTATAGCACCTAAAAGTTCTTTTCTGGAGCAAGGCGGCCCTGATTTTTATTTGCATTGAGAAGTTAGGAGCAGGCACTCTACATCCAGACTGCCTAAGTTCATATATTACGTCTAGTTCTACTTGGCCGAGTGACTCTGGGTAGGTTACCTAATATTTCTATACCTGTTTCACCTGTATAATGAATGTAATAATACAGGTCCATAAACCCTTATCTAAAATCTTTGGAGCTTATGTTTAGAATATTTCAGATTCTAGAAAGGCAATATGGTACATATGATGTATGTTCAGCAAAACACCAGTAGGGGTATGATCAAATATATTAATATTTCTGCAAAGAAAGATATGAGTAATGACAATAAGTTGGATAGAAACTATAAAATAGCCTGTCTCCACTGAGAGTTGGTTTTGCTGCTAAATGAGTTATAAATCATCTTTTGCTTTCAGATTTTTTGGGGGATTCTGGAACGGCAGATAAGTAAGTGTCTGTGGGTTTTGGAGAGGTGTAAACAAGTTAATATATGTAAAGCACTTAGTATGGCCTGGTACTAGCTAGTGTAGTCTCTTAATAATGTTACATAGTTGACTTAGAGAAAAGAACTCCCCTCAGCCATGTCTCTCCCCTCCTACTGTCTGATTTCATCTCTCCGGGAAGTCACAGGGCCTGTCCCCACACAGGAAAGGTGTTGCAGGTCCTGCCAGGGAACAGCAAATTACCTGGGAGAATCCACTGGCCCAGTTGTTGCCAGCTCCTCCTCCATGCTCGGACAGGTAGATGTTCTCTGGGTTGTAGAGCTTGGCATAGGGGGAGTTGAGGATGGAGTGGATCACCCGGGGCTCCAGGTCCAGCAACACAGCCCTGGGGATGTAGTGCTCATCGTCTGCCTGTCAAAAGGAGTCCAGGACAAACCAAATCAGAAAAGGCCTGCCTAGTCCCCTGTCCTCCCAACTTTGGCTCCTGCCTGCCCTCCCTCCTCAAGCCGGCCACCCTGGGTGGCTGTGCCCAGAGAGTTTCCCAGTACCAAGCCTCTGCCCTTCCCTTCAGGCCCCCTGGGCAACTGCCGGCCCCGGCCAAGTCGCTGGGAGCACCTGGTAGAAAAAGACGTCCTTGCGGTCAGTGCCCTCGGTGGCGAATTCTTCCACGATGCCCTCGGGGCTGATACCATGCTCGGCGCACAGTTGTTTCCAGAACTCGAACCCAACTGGGGGGGAGGAGGGATGGGCAGGGGTGAAAGAGGATATCTGGGTCTGGGCAGGTTCCAACTAGGAGCTGGGCGATATAGCGCCTGAGTGCAGGGATAGGAAGTCAAACTTCAGGAGTCTCCCACGACAGAGGAATAGGCTGTATGCCGACGCCTGGGCAGGGAAAGGCCCCTCCGGGTTGGGTAACTGGACACTGGGGCGGGCACGTCCCGCTTTAGGATTCTGGGAGGGCAGATGGGAGTCTAGGATTCCACAGTGAGGTCCCATTTAATCTAGTGAGCCTGGCTAATGGAGGGGGCGGGGGTTCGCTCACTCTGATTGCCGCACTGGCCCAACTGTAGGGTGATGATTTCCCTCGGCATCGCTCCTCAGGCACCGGCGCTTCAGCCGCTCCCGCTAGCAAAGCCGCTGCTCGCCAGCCCGCTCACCGCACCACGCAGGCGCCAAACAACCCGCTCCGCCCACGAACTTTCTCCGCTCCAATGAGAAGTGAGTTCTGGAGATGGTACTTCCTTATTCGTTTGGCTTCAGTCATGCAAACTGCGCGTGCGCAGCTCCGGTTCGGGCTTAGAGCCCGGGAGATCCGGAGGTATTTTTGACGCAGCGTTCTTTCCTCTGGGTGGATGGGAGCTAGAGCGTCTGCGCAGGCGCTGTCAAGGAAAGCCACCTCCCCCGCCGAATCGCGCATCTGCGCAGTTGGTGTTATTGTGACTGTCGGGCCGTGGCCCCGGATGTGGTGGCTGCCAGGGGCTGATGGCGGAGGCTGAGGGGGTTGCCGCGGTCCCAGGCCCATCTTCGAGGCCGACTTTCAGGGGCCGCGGCGCTATGTCAGGCTCCTTGGAGCGGGACCAGCAGGTTGAGGCGGCGCAGCGGGCCCTGGTGGAGGTGCTAGGGCCTTACGAGCCTCTGCTGAGCCGGGTGCAGGCAGCACTTGTGTGGGAGCGGCCAGCCAGGAGCGCCCTGTGGTGCCTGGGGCTGAACGCGGCTTTCTGGTGAGAAACTAGACCCTCGGAAACCCTCCGGGGCGCGAACTCGTCAGGTTTCTCTAGGGCTCCACCTGTCGCCTCCCCTGTTTTCTTCGCTGCACTAACTCCTTCCCATACCTGCCTAATGTTGCCTCACTTCCTTCCACTCTATCCCGCGGGTAGCCTTCGGCACCGCAGTTCTCCGCAGGCCTCCCAGGTGTCTACCTTGTATTATCTACCCCCGCACCCTCGCCCCGCACATCTGGCAGGAGCTTCTGGTAATATCTTGAGCCGCCCGCGGTGAGCTAGGGCCCCTCCTTTTAGGCAGGGAAAGCTGTGGCCCTTTTAAGGCCATCACCTCCTTTTCTCTTGTCTACTCAAATGTGGTTTGAAGGCTGTTTCCAGAGATGTTAGTAGTTGTTATTGTTATTGGGGTACATGCGTGAGGCGTGAGGTCTTGAAAAGGTATCCATAGGTGTGATAAGAAAACAAGCCTGAGCGATGGGAATTAGAATTAGCATGTTTAGATGTACTCTCGCCCACTCAAGGAAGTTTGTGGAGCCTGAGCGTCAGTGAGACCCTCCAAAACTGCTACTTGGAAATTATAAGCTTTTAAAGAACAGTTATGAAATAGTGATTGTGAGATTTCACCCTTTTGAAAGCCACTTAGGATTGCAGCTCCTTCCTGTTCCAAGGAATTAGGCTTCTTTAGCCATGGTATAGAGGCAAGGAAATTGAGGATGTCTGATAGTGTGTGTGAGTTTTCTTGAGCTGGAAAAGGGCTGTAAATATACTTTAAGAATCTGTATGTGTCTTGCTCTGTGAAAATGAAACTACTGCTTCTCTTAGTTGTCATCACCTAAAGTGGACTTAGGTCTTCATAAGATCTACCTGAGCAGATCTAGGGAAGTATTATCGTTCAAATTCCCAGGGAACTGGGGTGGGGGGTGAGGGGGTGGGGCTTCTACAGCTGAATGAAATAAGGCTATTCTGGATGAACCTGAAACAGGACAAGTTACGTGTTTCCAGAAATTTTTGGTTTTGCTCAAAATAGCTTTCCTCTTAAAATTCTTGATTATAAAACCAAAACACTTATTATTCTTTCTCTGAAAGAAGATTTTTAGTCAGTTGTAGCACAGGGTTTTTGAGTTCATTGACAGGAAGACACAACGTTTAACTATAAAGTTAATCCTCTCAGAGTTTGAAGGAGACTCAGGTTAAAGTTGTCACAGTAACCTTTGCCATTTGTTGCTTCCAGAGTCTAGCAAACTTGATAATAAACAACAATCTTTTTTTTTTTTTTTTTTTTTACAGCAGTCCTCATTTTTTTTGGAGGGGGGCGGGCAGGTAGTGCTTCTTCTTTGAACCCCAGGTACCTACTTCTCTCCTGTTGTTCTCTGTCAGAAACCCGTAACCTCTCAGAAGTGTTTACCAAAATGACCTTTTCTTTTTTCCTTCTGCGTCCCTATCCCAACCCCAAAACCCAAACCCCAGACCCCAGACCCCAGACCCCAGACCATCCAGTCAAAACTTCATTTCCTACATTGGGATTGTACTCATAAAAAAGAAATTGGTCCTCAATAAACCAGTTTTGTATCAAAGTGTGACTGGCTAATATATAAAAACTTTATCAGGATTTAAATGAATCCTGATAAACCAAGGGTTTATTAATGCACATGGACCAGTAGCATGTAAGTTGTTATTTTTGAGGAGGGGACTTTCTACATGCCTCTTGCCTGAGAGATTTTTGAAGTAGAATGCAGGTAGAGGTCTAGTATAAGGAGCTGCTCTGACAGAGACACCTCTAAGTGTTACAGTGTTAGCCTTAATTTGTTCATCCCCAACAGTGTTACTAAATTTTATTAATATGCTATGTTTAGAATCTCACTCAGATCCCCACTTTTCTACTCTTGGTCCCTTAAAGCATTGTTGTGATTGGTCTTTATCTCTGGCATTTCCCGGTAGCTTGCCTGTTCTGTATCCAGAACAGTTCCTCTTGTTACGTTCCCCATCACACTCTTAAGTAGGTGGGAGAGAGATATAGCAAAATGAGGGTGTGACTCTTGACACTGAAAGCAAATGGGTATGCCATTTATGGAAAGGACTCATACTTGTGAAGGGCACAGAATGACTAATAGTGTTAAGGCCCAAGAAGCTAAGGTAGTTTGGCATTGGAGTTCACAGGATTGTTTGTTTTAGTAAATAAATACTCTTCCAGGAAGGTAGTTTGAGATTTAAAATGAAAGTTAGACTTCACCTTCCAGTAGCATCACATTGAATATAGATGTTGACATTTCACTTTGGAATGTCGAAGAGTGACTTTAATTCTTGGACATTTTAAGTGTTTAGGAAACAAAGGCTCAAGTCAGAGAGAAATCACATCTGAAATATTTTTCATTATTTGTTTTGAATTATGATTTATCACTACCTGGGATGTTTTATTCATTTTGCAGTATTAGAAGATTGGGTAGGAGTACAGAAAAACCAGAATTCAGGAAGGTGACTTAACTTTCAAAGTTCTCAGTGAAGTATTCTCAGTGAAGGTTTTTATGTACCTATGAGTATGCTCTCTTACATCGTAATAAAAACAACATAAAAGGTAGAGATAGATGTAGATGCTTTGCCACCACAGTATTTCAAGGCTTTCAGTCTTAAAAATTTTTCAGGCTTCAGAGAAATTATGGTGATCACATCAGAGATCTTTCAGCCCATTTTTCTTCTGGTCACTGATATGTTATTATCACTAGGATCAGGCCTTCCTTTCCAATTGCTTGTGTGTGTTTTTTTTCTTCTTTTTCCACCAAGTTGCTTGTATTTTCATTCTCCTCAAAGTCACCTATAAATGAATGATTTGGGAGAAGTGGATGAGTCAGCAAGAGTGTATCCTGACAGGATCAGGAAAGAACATGCTTGAGTAACTTTTTGGTTTGATTCAGGCCTGGTAGATATGGGCAGGACAAAGGAACCTGGGAAGTGTGTGAGCACGTGGTGACCGCTGGGGCCTAGGTGACCGCTGAGCTGCCTTCCAGTTCTCAGCATTCTGTGATTCTAGGTGGTCTTTAAACGACAGGTACTGATTTAGAGCAATCACAAGCTCATTCCCTGTTAGGATCTGCTTTTATAGTCACTAGTCTGAGTTAACCATGCACCATATTCTAGAGAATGTTATGGAATCTATTGTTTTTACAATTGAAAAAACCCCCACACGATGCCCCCCCATCTCTCCAAATTAAAAAATGGCCCCCAAAGTGATTAAAGATATATAGCAATTCTGATTTTTAAAAGGTTAGAATTTGCCTGGCCAGGCGTGGCTCAGCGTTTGAGCGTCGACCTAGGATCCTGGCGATTGGGTTTCAATTCCCAGTCAGGGCCCATGGGTTGCGGGCTGCAGCTGATCAATGACTTGCTCATCATTGATGTTTCTCTCTCTCTCCCTCTCCTTTCCTCTCTCTGAAATCAATAAAGATACATTTAAAAAAAAACAAACACAAAACAAAAACCCAAATACCAGTGGCTAAAAAAAAATAAAAAATAAAAATAAAAAAAATAAAAGGATAGAATTTGAGTAAAAACAATAGTGAGAAACGGGAAGTGCGAGGGAGGGCCCATTTAAGTAGAAACATTTGTGCCGTGAAAAAAGTTTACACCTCAAATTTCAGATGAAATCTGTTTAACAAATGTTTCTGATGATAGTCTTTGGAGGGTTCTTGTTGCTTTTTGTAGCCAAGAAGACTCCCAAGGATGCCTTGGCTTTTTTTGTTTGTTTGTTTTGCCTCTCTTTTGCCATCAGCTTTTATCTGTTTTAATTATAAGGTTGGGTGCTTTCTGTCCATTAACATAAGGTAGTCAAAGCAGCTAGTTGGTTTCATTTCTGGTTTTGTGCAAGCAGTAACTATCACTACATGACAGGCTGAGTTAATTTTTTTCATTCTAATTTACAGTGGCTCATTAACTAGACAGCCACAAGTGCTGTACGATAATGGGCGTTTTGTCCCTATAGGATGGCATGGTTCTGAAGTGCCACTGAGACAAGCTTACTCTGTAATAATGAAGGAACCCAGCAATAGTGTCTTCTTTGATTGAAAATAGACGTGATCTTTATTTTGTTTGATTATAGCATAAGCTTTTGATTATAGTAAACTCCAATTTACCTGTACTAAAATGAGGATCCTATAGTTAACCTCAAAAAAATTGTTTAGTTTTGGAATTTCTCATGACTTTTCTGGATACTAAACTTTTCCCAAGGAATAGTTTATTTAGACTGATAATTAATTGGATTTTAGCTACTAATAAAGGGGAGGGACAGTTTACAAAGCACAAATAATAAGTCAATGGATATATAAATTTTTACTCTCATTGATAAAAATTCTATGTAAATAAATGACAATGAATTACTTTATTGCTTATTAGGTTTTTAAAAAATTATTTATTTTAGATAGAGGAAGGGAGGAGGAGAGAAAGAAAGAGAAACATCGATTTGTTGTTCCACTTATTTATGCATTCATTGATTGATTCTTGTATGTGCCCTAACTGGAGATTGAACCCCCAACCTTGGCGTATCAGAACGATTCTCTAACCGACTAAGATACTGGGCCAGGGCCTGAAACGTTTTTTATGGAAACTTTAAAGCATGTATAAGTAGACAGAATAATATGTACCACCATATACCCAGCTTTAAATATTTTCACCTCATGGCCAATTTTCAGCCTTGTATACCCCAATTGTTTCCCATCTTCTCCTTGAATTTGAGGCAGATTCTAGATGTCATATCAT